TGACATACTAAGTAACAAAAGTAGAAAAATAGGTTATTAGATGTGGACAGATGTACTGTGAAGTAAGGATTTTTTTTTTTTAAGATGGGTCATATATGACTGTTTCCATATTAATGAGTAAGATATGGACCAAGAATTTATATGTATATATATAATATAATATATAATATTATATATAATTATATATATCAGGGATTATATAAAATGTATATATATAATATTATATATAATATATATAATTGTATATATATCAGGAATTATATTAAAATATAATATTATATAATATATATTTATTTGTGTGTTACACATTTACTCTGTTAATCAAAAATTGTCTGTGAGAACCCTCTGCATGCTGCAGTTGGAGTGCTTTTATTACTGTCTTTGCTCACATTTTTCATAATGAATTGGAGGTTTTATTTTTTCCACAAAATGCTTGCCATTCAGTTATTTTATGTATGTATAAATATATTTGTGAGAATGTTTGGTAATTTATAAAATGTATGTGGTCAGTCAGTCATATGGTGTTTCTCTCCATTGCTTTTTACATTTTTTTTAAATTGAAATAACTGAGCTGTCACTGCAATATTCTTCACTTGACTATACTTGTTTTTAAAAAAATCACAGTGAATGTTTTCCTACATATATTTTAGTGCTAATTAATCACTTATTATGAGCTTCCTGGGTGACAATAGTGGTAAAGAACCCCCTGCCAGTGCAGGAGAGGTGAGAGACACAGGTAAGATCCCTGGGATTGGAAGATCCCCTGGAGGAGGGCATAGCAACCCACTCTAGTATTCATTCCTGGAGAATTCCATGGACAGAGGAGCCTAGTGAGCTGTGGTCCATAGGGTTGCAAAGAGTCAGACATGACTCTAGCAACTTAACACACACACACACACACACAACCACCTATTAAACATATTTCTAACTTTTACTCTCTCCTTCCTTATTGTTCCTTTTAATCTTTTTTGGTTAAATGTATTTCTGAAAGTTGTATTACCTTTGGACACCATGTAGAAATCATTTTTAAACCATTTGATTAAATGTCACCTTTGTCTTTCATGAACATATTTGAATCCATGTATATTTAAGAAAAAAATTTAACTTGAATACTGTTTCCTGCTTGCATTTTAAAATGTCTTCTCTTATATTCTTTTATTTCCAAGTCTTTGGGAATTTAATATTGAATTAGTGCCTAATGTTTGTATCATTAAATCACTACTGTTCACATTTTTATGAAACTTACAGATATTCATTCAATCTTGTTACATTCAATTACTTTAAAACCACTACCACATAACCTAGTTTTATTCTCAGTAACATTGTCCCATATGTGCTTGGTTTCTTTTAAACTTTTCTTTCTATATGAGGCACACATACCTATTCATATACTTTTGTACACATGCATGAATAGAAGTCTATGCACATCACAGATACTCTTGATGACTCAGTGCAGTCTTTTTTTTTTTTCTACTTGTGTTGTCTCTTCCTTATTGGTCAATAATGCCCCAGGACTTTCTTCCCGTCAACTAGTATTCAATGCAATATGGATTCATTATTTGAATAGCTGTTTAGTATTTCATAAGGGGCTGTGTTACTCACACAGCTGATGGTCTTTCCTAATCTTTCTCTTTGAGTTGCTATTATATCATTCCTGCAAAAATATTTGAGATTGTTAAATTTAAACTGTTGTTTTAAGCAGGAGCAAATTTGTTTCCTCAGGAACACTGAAATATGCTTGTAGAAATATCTGTCTTATACTCCAGGAACAGTGGGTGGAGGACAGGGATGCTCTGGGCATCCTGCAAGGCACAGGACAGACCCCACCACACAACCTGCCTGAGAATGTCAATAGTGCTGAGATTGAGAAGCCTCCAGTTAAAGAACTGGACTTTTAATATCTGTACCATTGTTCAGACGGTTTTCCTAACAATGTAACATTTTAAATTTTTGTCTGCAAACAGATAGTGTACCTTTGCTCCCTGTTTCGAAGTTTCACTATAAACTGTCTGACAACTCTAAGTAATTTCCCAGACTGATGGTTGTGATAAAAGTGTGCTCTTCTTAACTATTACTGAGTTTGATAAAAAATTAATACCTTGAATTGCCATTTTTGATGTGTCTATTTTTATTATTATATGCCCGCATAATAATATGCCTCTTAATACTACCATTATCAACTTTTGAAATGATTTTTAATAATAGCTGTTTCTCAGTTGACCTTTAGGGGACTGTTTTGCCATTAAAATGTTTTTTCATTTTGTTTGGTTAAATACATCTATCTTCTGCTGGATTTATTGCTTTAAGATAGTTTGGCACACTTGTGGACTTCAGTGTATAATTTTCTAGGTATTCACCAAAAAGGATTGGTTTTTATACTGAATAGATTACCCCTCTGATTTATTCTATAATCTAATCTTCCCAAACTGAAGTACAACTTTATATGTATTTAATGAAATCTATAATAGAGACATATCCTGATTCATTCAGTATGCAGTAACTGAGAATCTAATATGTGCCGTAATTTTCAGGAACATTATGTATTATATTCACATTTATGCATTTCCCAATTTAATTACTAATTCATTGGCTATCATTAAATCATTACTATTTTATTATTGTTTGAGTTAGTGTGTGATGAGCCATTCAATTTTTTAAAAATACAGTTTCTTTGGAACTAATTTATTTAATTATTTTTCCTTCAGTTCCCTTTATTTTGTAACTTCACATGTATTTAAATATGTTTCTCTTTGCTTACATGCATGCTAAGCCGCTTCAGTTGTGTCTGACTCTTTGTGACTCTATGGATTGTAGCCCACCAGGCTCCTCTGTCCACGGGATTCTCCAGGCAAGAATACTGGAGTGGGTTGCATGCCCTTCTCCAGGGTATCTTCCTGACCCAGGAATTGAACCTGCGTCTCATGCCTCCTGCATTGGCAGGCAGGTACTTTACCACTAGCACCAACTGGGAAGCCTGTGTTTCTATATAAGTGCAAATGTATTCACTTATGTTTCTGAAAATGACCAGAGCAGTTGAACTCGCTGATGACTAGGATTTTGCATTATCATGGTGAAGTAATAGTACAATGAAATAATTGTTTAGATAATATAATGTCTAGGCATTAATCCTATGAAGAAATTTTTTCAGGGCAAAATGTTGGATTGACATGGTGTCTGTACAATTTACAGAATGCAGTTTGAAAAACCCTTTGCATGTTGAACAAAGGCCAGAAATAGCATTGGGATATGCTCATCAGATTTATTTTAAAAATATGATAATGTGTAAGCTCCAAGGATAACAAACACAAGATGCCCCAGAAGGAAACTGGGAAAGAGCTTGCCTCATTCCTTATAGAACAGTAAAAAACTGGTCAAATAAATGGAAAAGGTTCTGGAAAAATGTCTTCTATTGTTTTATGTAAAACATTTTCAGCTGTTGCTGTTTTCACTTGTATATTCATTTTTGTTGGTTTATTTACTTTGCCCATTTTTCTTTTGGGGTAGTCAAATATGTCAGGTTTCTTTCATTATAAAAGTATAACTGTTCTGTCATGGTAAACATGTATTTTTCTTTTTGAAAATTATTTTTGCTGCGTGTCAAGAAGATAACCGGAATTGGAATGTTGCCAAACAAATGAAGCTTTAATTCATCACATAGTCTCAGGGACCATTAGAGCTTATTAAATCTTTTACCCTCTATTGTCTATTTCATTTCCCTCTGTTCTCTCTCCCCCTGCCTCTCTCTCTCTCTCTCACACACACACACACAATTTTTTATATTTCTTTAAATACAGAGCAGAAAGTGATCATAAAAATGAACTCCAAGTTTATTGGTCTATGGGCAGTCTATGAACTGGAATTTCTGGATACCATTTATACGTTCTGCAGGAGAAAGATGATCTGATATGATCAGCTTGAGTTATAATGGTATCTGGTGTGAGGAGGGTGGTTCTGGGTGACAGATGCCTGGTAGGAACATAGCTCAGGAGGACATAGTGTGAGTGTGTGTGTGTGTGTGCGCGTGCTTGTGCCTTGAGAGCAGTTCTTAAAGCAGAGGCGCTTGGACTCATATATTAAGGTGCCCTAAATCACAGAGCCCAGAATTCAGTCAGCAGAAGGTACTAAGGATGGGAGATGCTTTATTTCACAAGATGCTTTTGCAACTAAATTCATAAAGTGCAAAGAACAAGCATTTTCCTTAGGTCTTTGTAGTGGCCATTCCCTTGCCAGGCACACACTTCTCTCGATATCATACTAGATCCTTCTCTCCCTTTCTTGAACTATCTGTTCAATTATCACCTTGTTTGCTGGCCTTAACTGAATATGCAATACAGGAAAATACTTCCTACTACTCTCTTTTATATCTAACTTTGTTTTCTTCATATCAACTGTAATCACTTGACATATAATATTTTATTTGCACATCATCTTTTACCATCACTGGATTGTGAAAACTTCCTTTTTTAGCACCATGTACTTGCTACCTATATTTATTTAGAGGGATTTCCCAGGTGGCTCAGTGGTAAAGAATCTGCCTGGCAATGCAGAAGAGGCAGATTAGATCCCTGGGTTGAGAAGATCACCTGGAGAAGGAAATGGCAACCCACTCCAGTATTCTTGCCTGGGAAATCCCATGGACGAGAAGCCTGGCCGGCTATAGTCCGGGGGAGGGAGGGCAGTCTCAAAAGTGTTAAGACATGGCTTAGTGATTAAACAGCAATATGTGTTTTGAACATGGTTGACACTCAATATATATTCTTCAAATGTATGAAAGTATTTCTCATTACAACTGTAGAATGCATATTTCTTTGGGAATATGCTGAGAGTGGGGCAAAAATGCCTAAGTAGAGATGAAACAGAACTTTTCTAAACACTAGATATTAAAAACATTTTATTGACAGCAAAATAGAAATTTTACCATTTCATCTATGAGAGTTATGCCAATTCGTGTGGACATTAGTCATGTTATTTTCATTTTTCCTGGTTGTCACCTCCACCACATGGAACCAGGTAATAATACACAATTTTCTGAATTTTTCCTTCCAGGACTCTCAGAGGATCCAGGATTCTCAGAGGATCCAGAATTGCAGCCCCTCATCTTTGGGCTTTTCCTCTCCATGTACTTGATCACTGTGTTTGGAAACCTGCTCATTATCCTGGTCACTATCTCTGACTCCCACATCCACACACCCACGTACTTCTTCCTCTCAAACCTGTCCTTTGTAGACATCTGCTTCACTTCCACCACCATTCCAAAGATGCTACAGAATATTCAGACCCAGAGCAAAGTCATAACCTATGACGGCTGTATCATCTAGTTGTATTTTTACATACTGTTTGCAGGATTAGATGCCATTCTCCTGACAGTGATGGCCTATGATCGGTATGTGGCCATCTGCCAACCCCGCACTACATGGTCATCATGAGTTCCCCGGCTCTGTGGACTGCTGGTTCTGATATCCTGGGTGCTAATTGCCTTGTTTTCCTTGCTACTCAGCTTAATGGTGTTGCGATTGTCCTTCTGTCCAGAAATGCAAATCCCCCACTTTTTCTGTGAACTCAGTCAGGTGGTACAACTTGCCAGTTCTGACATCTTTCTTAATAACATAGTGATGTATTTTGCAGCTGTCCTGATGGGTGATGGTCCTTTTGCTGGTATCCTTTACTCTTACTCTAAAATAGTTTCCTGCATATGTAAAATCACATCAGCTCAGGGGACGTATAAAGCATTTTCTACCTGTGTGTCCCACCTCACAGTTATCTTCCTATTTTATTTTACAGCCTTAGGAGTGTTCCTTAACTCTGCTGCTACCCACACCTCACATTCAAGTACAATCACCTCGGGGATGTACGCTGTGGTGACACCCATGCTGAACCCTTTCATTTACAGTCTGAGAAACCAGGATATAAAAGAGGCTCTAAAGAGATTATATTTGATGCCTAGCATAAAAGGCCAGTTATATTAGTGCTCTGGATTGTATAACTCAAAGAATTAGAATCAGAAATTGTTCTTTGACCATAGTGAAATAAAGTTTGCTCCTTGCACTTATTTCCTGGGATTTCCATTTTTCTTTCCTTCTTTGGATTCAGCATCTTTATACAGTTTTAGGAACTCTCTTATTAAGCTTTATCCTTATTCTTATATATAGACCTTTTTTTATTTTTTCCTACTCCACCATTTTCCTACCTTTGGATCAAAAATGTTTGGAAATTCCATTTCTTTCATGGAGTATCATAGATTTATGAAGAATTTATTGGGAGTATGTCCTTTTATTAAAGCATTTAGCCTGTTGTTGTTCAGTTGCCCAGTCATGTCCAACCCTTTGTGACTCCATGGATTGCAGCAGGCCAGGCCTGCCTGTCCCTCACCATCTCCTGGAGTTTGCTGAAGTTCATGTTCATTGCATTGGTGATGCCATCCAGCCATCTCATCCTTTGATGCCCTCTTCTCCTTCTGCCCTCAATCTTTCCCAGCAGAAGGGACTTTTCCAATGAATCATCTGTTTGCATCAGGTGATCAAAATATTGAAACTTCAGCATCAGCATGTCTTTCCAGTGAATATTCAGGGTTGATCTCCCTTAAGACTGACTGGTTTGATCTCCTTGTTGTCCAAGGGACTATCAGGAGTCTTCTCCAGTACCACAGTTCAAAGGCATCAATTATTCCACCTTCTGCCTTCTCTATGGCCCGGCTCTCACAACCATATGTTACCACTGGGAAGACCATAGCCTTGACTATATGGACTTTTGTTGGCAGAGTAATGTCTCTGCTTTTCAACACACTGTCTAGGTTTATCATTGGTTTCCTGCCAAGAAGCAATCATCTTCTGATTCCATGGCTGCAGTCACCGTCCACAGTGATTTTGGAGACCAAGAAGAGGAATCTGTCACTGCTTTCACCTTTTCCCCTTCTACTTGTCAGGAAGTAATGGGTCTGGATGCCCTGATGCTAGTTTTTTAATTATTTAGTTTTAAGCTGGCTCTTTAGAAGAGCATTTAATCTACTGGCTGCTAAAGAGGATTTTGGTAGGTATTACTTATTGCCAATTTGTTAACTTGTTTTCTGTTTTGTAGTTCTTTGTTTTCCTTTTTTCTTTGTGTTTCTTCTCTTATGATTTAATGGTTTTATTTACTGATATGCTTGTGTTACTTTCTCTCTAGTTTTGCTTATCTAGTGTAGATTTTTGATGTATGGTAAAGAAAGTGTCTTTATATGATGATCTACAATGATGTCTATTTTTAAAAACAAGTTATCCTTTAAGTTCGTTTACATACCAGTAGCACTACATTTTAACTCCCTGCGCTAATTTTGTGTCTTTGAAGCCATATTTGACCCCTCCCTATTTATCCTCTCATTCTTATTTTAGCTATATTTGATTTTAGAATTTTTTTGTCTATTAAATTTTCATACTAACTTAAGTGATTTGATCCTCAGCCTTTCTACATGTTTGCCTTTACTAGCAGGATATTCTCTTTCTTATAGTTTCTTACCACTTGCTATGCTTTTTCCTTTCCATCTTAGAGAAGGTACTATATCATTCCCATGCAGAGTAGGTTTAGAATTGATAAATTCTATTAGTCTGTGCTTGTCTGAAAAGTTCTGTATCTCTCCTTCAATTCTAAATGATAATCTTACTGGGTAAAATGCCCTAGTTTGCAGGTTTTTCCCTTGCAACACTTTAAACATATCATGCCTCTCTGTTCTATCATGCACAGTTTCTGGGAAAAAAAAAGAAATAAATAAAATGATAAACTTATATGTTTCCATCTTATATGACACTGTTTTACTTTTGCTGCCTTTAGAAACCCATATCTTTAACTTCGTGGTTTAAATTGCTGCATCTTGGTGTAGGTCTTGTTGCTGTCATTTTGGGGGGATGCTTTTTGCTTCTGCACCTGAATTTGCTTTTTTATTCAGGTTTGGTAAGTTTTTAGACATAAGTTTATCAAATACATTTTGACTACTTTCTCTTTTTCTTTTTTCCTTCCTGGACACTCCAATTATGCCAGTGTTGGTATTCTTAATGTAGTCAAACATCCCTCAAATTATTCTCATTTTTCATTTGTTGCTTTCTTTTCTGACTGAGTCATCTCTATGATTCTATATTTCAGTTAACATGCATTCTTCTGTATCACCTGCTATACTATTAATTACTTCTAATTGTTGTTCATTTAATTTACTGTAGTGTTCAGTTCTAACTAGTTTTTATTTTATAGTTCCCTGTTAAAATTATCTCTGTGCTCGTAAGTCCTTCTTTTCACAGAATTAAATATTTTATAGTCTTCCACTTATTAACAAAATGCACAGGGTGCATACTGAAAGTAAAAGTAAAATTTTTTTTTGTTCCTAGGTAGTTTATTATTTATTATTATTATTATTATTATTATTTTCATTTATTTTTATTAGTTGGAGGCTAATTACTTTACAATATTGTAGTGGTTTTTGCCATACATTGACATGAATCAGCCATGGATTTACATGTGTTCCCCATCCCGATCCCCCATCCCACCTCCCTCCCCACCCCATCCCTCTGTGTCTTCCCAGTGCACCAGCTCTGAGCACTTGTCTCAGGCATCCAACCTGGGCTGGTGGTCTGTAAAACTCCTTTTGGAAGATTCCTTGAATCATTTTAGCTTGAGAAAATGGAGTTTTATATCATCTTTACTAATGCATTGATTCCAAATCTGGTAAACTGTTTCTCTTTCATTTGCTGACTTTTAGGCATGATCTCTTGCTATTTCAGTTTGGACAAGTTCCTCTGTCTTTTCATTTTACTTACCTTTGTCTGTCTATCTGAAATTATGTGCCACAGTTAACTCTTGCAGTCCTGAAGTGGTATCTTTCTGTGGGAACAGTCAAATACAGTTGATGTGTGCCCAGTGGCTTTGTTGGAAGAGTTGGATCTGATGTTATCACAATTCATGCCTTTCTTTAGGGTTTACTGGTTGCAATCATCTGGCTAAGAGGTATGGAGGGTTTAGGGCTTGAGCCAGGTATGAGATAGGGCTTCCTCTAGCTTAGTGGCCACTACTGGCCTAGTGGGAGGGAGGTAGGTCCCAAGTTGCTAGAGCAGAAGCCCTGGAGATCACATATGAGCTGACCTTGTTCCCCCTAAGTGTGTGCTCCCCCACTCCTGTCCCAGCACTGTTGACCCAGAGGGGAGCTGTGCTTGAGCAAGAAGTGCTAGTGTGTGGCCCTCTAGATGGGGTGGGGCAAGGACCCTGTTGGGCTGGGCAGAGCTTGAGATGCAGACTGCCTCTGATGTGCTGCCTGTGTAAGCACCATCAGTGGTTGACCGTCCCCTGCTCAGAAGCATCTTTGGGTCTGGAGCTCTTTTGTCCCTACAGTGGGGCTGCTTTACTTGCCATGGTATGGGGCTGCAAAACAAGGGCCTCGAGACATGCATAGATTTCTGGCATGGAAAGGGGTGTGGGCTGTGGCATCAAGCCATCATCAGTGATTGGTGTTGCTTCTGATGTGAAGCCCATGTAAGCACCAGTGCTATGTGCTATGGCCCTGCTTAGACACTGCTTCATGTCTGAGCCTAGGTTACCAAGTATCCACTAATCTTAGGCTGTCACGCACACACACACACACGCATACTACATAACTATATCTATATATCTGCATATATATATATATACTGCATCTCTTGCATTGCAGGCAGATTTTTTACTGCCTGATCCACCTGTTGGATCTGCCTGCAGTGCAGGTCATGTGGGTTTGATCCCTGGGTTGGGAAGATCCTGGGGGAATGGAATGGCAACTCGCTCCAGTATTCTTGATGTGGAAATCCCATGGACAGAGGAGCCTGGGGCTACAGCCATGGGGTCACAGACTCAGATGTGTCTGAGCACAGCACAAACACACAAATAATACACTAAGATAGTTTATGGTGCATATCAACATATAAATATCTCTCTTACAAGTACACAGATTTGGTAATGAGGGATTAAAGGATAGCCCTTGACTTCTGATATAACTGGGAAATTTCTAATTGTCTTGGAGAAACTATCATGCTTCCATGAAATATATTAACCATGGTTTTATTCTAAACTAGCAAAGTTATCCCCCTTTTTGAAGAGGAGAATAGTAATTTTTAGAGATTTCAGTGGTTCTGTCCCTGCCACAAATCAAAGCATTAAAGATCAGAGGGACCTACTCAAGACAAATCCTCAATGTTAGAGTTTAAAGAAAATTTTGTACTCAGAGATGTGATGACATGCTGGGAATCTTAGGGCTTTGGAAGCAAGAGAATTAAAGGTGAAGGGGTGATGAAAAATGAATTCACCTAACTTGTAATGTAGTGTCTTAGGAACAGTGAATCAGATAGAAAAAACAAATTCGTTCTGTCCAGAAGTGTCCCCAAGGGAAATCATGTAGTTAAAGGTTTGAGTAACCAGAGGAAACACTCCTAATGAGCTGACACAGGAAGCTGTAAATATCTCCTCTGCTGCAGTCCCTCAGCCTCTGCCTCTTTGGTTGGTGAGGACCTGGTTCTTGCTGTTGAAGTTCTACATCTGTCTGGCAACCAATGCTTGATTTTATCACCTCCTGTTTTCTTATTTGGGGACAAAATTCTATCTGCATCAGTAATCATTTAGGGAGGAATTTTGACTTCTACAGGGAGAGCCTTTCCTCTCAATCTGCAGGCAGGTGAGTCTGAGACCTCCATAGACACTGCAGGAGAGCATTAGAGAGGATGGAAACCAGAAGTGTGTACTTGAGGTCACCTGAGGACCAATCTATCATAGCCCAGAGGCCAGAGGTCATTGTAGTTGTTTTCTGGTTTTCCTAATATTAATGTACTTATGTATGGTCTAAAACTAAAGTGAACTTTGCACTTGAAAATGTAAGCATCTAGGTTGACAATTAAATGGTAATAGTGGAAACACAGAAGGAATGATAATGGTGGTTCAGTTGCGAAGTTACTCCAACTTTTGTAAGCCCATGGACTGTAGCCCACCTGGCTCTGTCAATGGGATTTCCCAGGCAAGAATGCTGGAGTGGGGTGCCATTGTCTTCTCCAGGGGATTTTTCTGAACCAGGGATCTAACCTATGTCTCCTGCATTGATAAGCAGATTCTTTACTTTCTGAGCCACCAGGGAAATCCAGTTAGAAGGAATAGGAGGCATAAAATGCTTCCAGTAAAAGTAGAAAGTAAGTATAAGGATCTTATTTGTGAACAGGAGGAAACAAATAGGGAAAGTCCATTAGAAAGGAAGTCTTCTACTGCTTCATATGCCTCATATAAAACATGTCCAACTTCTGTTGTGTTTTTTCCATTTCTGATGTTGAATTGGTTGTTTATAGACCAATTGTTTCTTTTCCTCTTGGGGTATTCAAACTGTAAGAAGTTCCATGTCATAACTGTATCATTATTTACATCCTTGAACAAAAGATATTTTTCTTCATTTTTTTTTTCCTTTACCTCAAAGAGATGTCATTGGAGGTAGAATGTTGATGAAGCAAGGAAACTTTTCTTTACTGCATTGTTTCAGGAGTCATTTGAGTATATTGGATATTATTTTCCCTTAATGTCCGTATGTCCATTTCGTTTCTCTCTTTTTCTTTCACTCTCGTACTTTTCATTCTTTTCTAAATACCAAGTAGAAATTGGCTATACCAAAAATGAACCCAAATTTGTTGTTCCATGAGAAGTTTATAAATTGGAATTTCAGGGAAAAATTATATATTCTTTTGGAGAATATATAATTCTGACTAGCTGAGCTGTAAGCACTCATGACCTAAAGAGAGTGAATCTGGGTGACCAAGGCATGATAGTGACACAACCCAGAAGAACATGGTGTATTAGTGTGTTTGTGTGTGTGTTTGTGCATGAAATGGACACAAATGGACTTGTGCCTTGAAATGGAGAACAGATCTTAAAGCAGAAGCACCTGGTTTCATATGCTAAATGGCTTATACACACATGTCAAAATTAAGTCAACAGATGGGAAGGGAATCTTATATAGAAGGGAATCTTATATAATTCACAGGATGGTTTTATAGCTAAATTGATAATGTGCAAGGAACCTCATGGAAGGAGGGATTCTCTGTGGACTGAAGGTTCAGCTGTAGCAGGAAGGCCACCTTGTTCCTCAGCATCCCTGACACCATCTCTAATCACTCCCCCTCCTGCTTATCCCTCTGCCCCACTGGCTTCCTTGTTTGTATTTGAACATGTGGGACAAGCATCTTCTTCAGGTCCTTAGCAGTGGCAGCTCCCTCTTCCAGGCACACAATTCTGACATCACACTAGCTCCTTGTCTCTCTTTCTTTAGGAATCTGTTCAAACACCACCTAGTTTGCTCGACTTTCCTGAACATTCAGAACAAAATAACACCTCCTACCTCCTACCACTCTCTTTTATACCTGGTTTTGTATTCTTCATAGCATCTGTCACACCTAACATATTCTATAATATTTTATTTGAATATCCTCATTCAATGTTCTTGGATTGCAAGAGGTTTGTTTTTCAGCACTTTCTACTGGGTCAGCAATAATATGTATTTCTCAAATGAGTGAAGGAATATCACATTAAAACTTTAGAATATATGACCTCTTAGCAAATGTGATGAGAATGGGGCAAAAATTCCTAGTCAGAAATGAAATGAAGCTTACCCTCAAAGGGGCTTCTGCAGTGAGTCAGAGGTTTAGAATTCACCAGCAATGGAGTAGCCCTCCAAGAAACTCAGGTTCCATCCCTGGGTTGGGAGGAGGGCATGGCAACCTACTCCAGAGCTCTTTCCTAAGAAATTCCATGGACAGTGGAGGATGGCGTGCTATAGTCCTTGGGATTGGAGAGAGTTGGACATGACTGAAGATGTTAAACATATACACATATGCTCAAAGAGAACTTATCTGTAAATAAAATATTAATATCAACTTCTTGAGATAGAAATTGAAATTGCAGTCTTTCATCTATGTGAATTGCACCAGTATGAGTTAAAATTGTCAATACTTTCCTTTTTCCTAGTAGTCACCTCCACCCCATGGAAGCAAGTAACAATACACAAATTTCAGGATTTCTTCTTCTGGGACTTTCAAAGGAGCCAAAACTACAGCCCCTCATCTTTGGGCTTTTCCTCTCTATGTACCTGGCCACTGTGTTTGGAAACCTGCTCATCATCCTGGCCGTCAGCACAGACTGCCACCTCCACACCCCCATGTATTTCTTTCTCTCCAACCTGTCCTTTGTAGACATCTGTTTCATTTCCACCACCATCCCAAAGATGCTGTGGAACATCCAGACACAGAGTAAAGTTATCACGTATGAAGGCTGCATCACCCAGATGTATTTTTACATTCTCTTTGCAGGATTAGATGACATTCTCCTGACTGTGATGGCCTATGACCGGTATGTGGCCATCTGCCACCCCCTGCACTACATGGTCATCATGAGTTCCCAGCTTTGTGGGCTGCTGGTTCTAATATCTTGGTTAATAAGCACCCTGTATTCCTTGCTACACAGTTTAATGGTGTTGCGATTGTCCTTCTGCCCAACTGTGCAAATCCCCCAATTTTTCTGTGAACTCAATCAGGTGATAGAACTTGCCAGTTCTGACAACTTTCTCAATAACATAGTGATGTATTTTGCAGCTCTCCTGATGGGTATTGGTCCTTTTTCCAGTATCCTTTACTCCTACTCTAAAATAGTTTCCTGCATATGTAAGATTTCATCAGCTCAAGGGAAATATAAAGCATTTTCTACCTGTGTATCCCACCTCTTGGTTGTCTCCTTATTTTATTTTACAGCCTTAGGAGTGTACCTTAGTTCTGCTGTTACCCACAGCTCACACACAAGTACAATTGTCTCTGTGATGTACGCTGTGGTCACACCCATGCTGAATCCCTTCATCTACAGTCTGAGGAACAAAGATTTAAAGGAGGCTCTGAAGAGTTTATATTTGACTCCAAGTATAAAAGACCGATTATACTAGTGCCCCGGATTGCATAGCTCAAAGCCTCTGAACCTGAAATTGTGATTCTTTGATCATTGTGGAATAAAATTTGCTCCTTGTAGATATTACCTGGGATTTCCAATTTTCTTTTCTTCTTTGGATTCAGCATCTTTGTACAATTTAGGCACTTTCTTTATTAAACTTTATTCTCAGTCTTATATACAGAGTTTTTGTTTTTTCCTATTCCAAAATTTATATACCTTGGATAAAAAACGTTTGGAAATTTCACTTCTTTGGTTGGGTATCTTAGATTTATGAAGAATTTATTAAGAATACTGTCCTTTTATTAGAGAATTTAGTCTACTGACACACAAAGAGATTATCCATAGATGCTGCTTATTGCCAGCGTGTTACTTGTTTTTTGGTTTTTTAGTTCTTGGTTTTTTCCTTATGTGTGTTTCTTAAGATCTGATGATTTTATTTAGTGGTATGCTTTGAGCAAGCTCCAGGAGACACTGAAGGACAGGGAAGCCTGGTGTGCTGCAGTCCGTGGGGTGGCAACAAGTCAAATACAATTAAGTGACTAAACAACGAAGTAATATGCTTGTGTTTCTTTCTCTCTAGTTTTTGTTTATCTAGTGCAGTTTCTATGATGTATGGTAAACAGTGGGTTTTTACATGGGGACCCACAGCTTTATTTACTTTTTAAACAGGCTGTCTTTTAAGTTCCTGCACTTTCAAATAGCACTACAGTTTTGCTCCCTGACCTACATTTGTGTGCTTGTTGTTATATTTAAGACCTCCCTATTTATCCCTTTAATTCTTAATTGTGGATATACTTAACATTAGAAAATCTTTTTGCCTATTAAATTTTCATCCTAGCTTAAGTGATTTGATCTTCAGCCTTTCTGCACATGTGCCTTTACTAGCGGGATTTTGTCTTTCATATAGTTTCTTGCCACTTGTTATGCCATTTTTTTTTTTTCCTTCTTAGAGAAGACTCTATATCATTCCTTGTAGAGCAGGCTTAGAATTGATAGATTATTTTAGTCTTTGCTTGTCTGAAAAGTTCCTTATCTCTCCTTCAATTCTAAATGATAGTCTTGCTGGATAGAATGCTCTAGTTTGCAGGTTTTTCCCTCTCAGCAGTTTAAGTATACTCAACTTCTTCCATCTGACAAGTAACGTTTCTGCAAAAAAAATTGTAAAAACAGAAAGCAAAAGAAAATACATCAGCTGACAGACTTACAGGGTTCCTTTTCATATGACACTGTTTTACTTGTGCTGCCTTTAGAAAGCCATATCTTCAATATTGCAGTTTTAATTTATGTATATTGGTGTGAGTCTTGTTGCTGTAATTTTGGGGGGATGCTTTTTGCTTCTTGTACCTGAATTTGCTTTTTTATTTAGCTTTGGGAAGTTTTCAGCCATAAGTTTATCAAATACATTTTGACTACCTTTTCTTTTTCTCTTTTCCTTCCTAGACACTCCAGTTATGCCAGTGTTGGTGTTCTTACTGGAACACCGTTCACACTATTCTCATTTTTCATTTGTTTTTATCTTTTCTGAGTCATTTCCATGATTCTATATTTCAGTTAACTTATGCATTCTTCTATATCACCTGGTATACTATTAATTGTTTCTAGTTCCTGCTCATTTAATTTCTTGCAGTATTCAGTTCTAACTAGTTTTTATTTTATAGTTCCTTGTTAAGATGATCACTGTGTTCATCAGTCCTTTTTTTCACAGAATTAAATATTTTATGGTCTTTCACTTGTTAGTAAAATGCACAGGGTAAATACTGAAAGTAAAACTTCTTTTGGAAGATTCCTTGAATCATTTTAGTTTGAGAAAATGGAGTTTTATATCATCTTTACCAATGCATTGAGTTCCAAACCTGTTATATTGTTTCTCTTTCATTAGCTGTTTTTTAAGGCCTAATCTGTTGCTCTTTCAGTTGGGATAAATTCCTCTGTCTTTTCCTTTTCTGTACCTTTGTCTGTCTATCTGAAATTATGTGCCACAGTTAACTCTTGCAGTCCTGAAGTGGTGTCTTTCTGTGGGAACAGTCACATACCATTGATGTGTGCCCAGTGGCTTTGTTGGAAGAGTTGGATCTGATGTTATCACAATTCATGCCTTTCTTTAGGGTTTACTGGTTGCAATCATCTGGCTAAGAGGTATGGAGGGTTTAGGGCTTGAGCCAGGTATGAGATATGGCTTCCTCTAGCTTAGTGGCCATTACTGGCCTAGTGGGAGGGAGGCAGGTCCCAAGTTGCTAGAGCAGAAGCCCTGGAGATCACATATGAGCTGACCTTGTTCCCCCTAAGTGTGTGCTCCCCCACTCCTGTCCCAGCACTGTTGACCCAGAGGGGAGCTGTGCTGGAGCAAGAAGTGCTAGTGTGTGGCCCTCTAGATGGGGTGGGGCAAGGACCCTGTTGGGCTGGGCAGAGCTTGAGATGCAGACTGCCTCTGATGTGCTGCCTGTGTAAGCACCATCAGTGGTTGACCGTCCCCTGCTCAGAAGCATCTTTGGGTCTGGAGTTCTTTTGTCCCTACAGTGGGGCTGCTTTACTTGCCATGGTATGGGGCTGCAAAACAAGGGCCTCGAGACATGCATAGATTTCTGGCATGGAAAGGGGTGTGGGCTGTGGCATCAAGCCATCATCAGTGATTGGTGTTGCTTCTGATGTGAAGCCCATATAAGCACCAGTGATATGTGCTGTGGCCCTGCTTAGACACTGCTTCATGTCTGTGCCTCTGCTGTGACTCATAGCTAGGTTCCCAAGCACCCATGCAGGCTGTGGCACACACACAGACACACACACACACACACAATATATATATATATATATACATATATATAGTGGACCTAGTGGTAAAGAACCTGCCTGGCAATGCAGGAGGTGTAAAAATCCATGGGTTCCATTGCTGGGTCAGGAAGATCCCTTGGAGAAGGATATGGCAACCCACTCCAGTATTCTTGTCTGGGAAATCTCAAGCACAGTGAAGCCTGGAGGGCTACAGTCCATGGAGTTACAAAGATTTGCACAAGACTGAGCACATCCCCCCCACACACACATAATATGCTATGAGAGTTTATGGTGCATATCAACATATAAATCTCTCTCTTATAATTACAAACATTTAGTAATGAGGGACTAAAGGATAGCTCTTGAGTTCTGATATAAGTGGGAAATTTCTAATTGGCCTGGAGAAACTGTCATGGACCCAAGGAGTACAATAACCATGGTTTTATACTAAAGGGGCAAAGTTATCCCCCTTTTTGAAGAGGAGAATAGTAATTTTTAGAGATTTCAGTGGTTCTGCCCCTGCCACAAATCAAAGCATTAAAGATCAGAGGGGACCTACTCAAGATAAATCCCCAACGTTAGAGTTTAAAGAAAATCTTGTACCCAGGGATGTGATGACATGCTGGGAATCTTAGGGCTTTGGAAGCAAGATAATTAAAGGGGAAGGAGTGATAAAAAATGAATTCACCTAACTTATAATGCATGTCTTAGGAGCAAAGAACCATTAGAAAAAAAAATTCTGTCCAGTAAAGTGTCCCCAAGGGAAATCATGTAGTTAAAGGTTGGAGTAACGAGAGGAAACACACCTAATGAGCTGACACAGGAAGCTGTAAATATCTCCTCTGCTGCAGTCCCTCAGCCTCTGCCTCTTTGGTTGGTGAGGACCTAGTTCTTGGTTTAGAAGTTCTACATCTGTCTGGCAACCAATGCTTGATTTTATCACTTCCTGTTTTCTTATCTGGGGACAAAATTCTATCTGTATCAGTAATCATTTAGGGAGGTATTTTGACTTCTACAGGGAAGAAGTGATAAAATCTGCAGGCAGGTGAGTCTGAGAGCTCCAGAGACACTGCAGGAGAGCATCAGAGAGGATGGAAGCCAAGTGCGTGTGCTCAAGGTCACCTGAGGACCAATCTATCATAGCCCAGAGGCCAGAGGTCATTGTAGTTATTTTCTGGTTTTCCTAATATTAATGTACTTATGTATGATCTAAAACTAAAGTGAAACTTGCACTTGAAAATGCAAGCGTCAAGGTTGACAATTAAATGGTGATATTGGTTGTAGACTTTTGGATAACAACCATCCTGACTGGTGTGTAATGATACCTCATTGTGGTTTTGATTTTCATTTCTCTGATAATGAGTGATGTTGAGAATCTTTTCATGTGTTTGTTAGCCATCTGTATGTCTTCTTTGGAGAAATGTCTGTTTAGATCTTTGGCCCATTTTTTGATTGAGTCATTTATTTTTATGGAATTGAGCTGGAGGTGTTAGTTGCTTGTATATTTTTGAGATTAATCCTTTGTCTGTTTCTTCATTTGCTATTATTTTCTCCCATTCTGAAGGCTGTCTTTTCACCTTGTTTATAGTTTCCTTTGTTGTGCAAAAGCTTTTAGGTTTCATTAGGTCCCATTTGTTTATTTTTGCTTTTATTTCCAATATTCTGGGATGTGGGTCATAGAGGATCCTGCTGTGATTTATGTCGGAGAGTGTTTTGCCTCTGTTCTCCTCTAGGAGTTTTATAGTTTCTGGTCTTACATTTAGATCTTTAATCCATTTTGAGTTTATTTTTGTGTATGGTGTTAGAAAGTGTTCTAGTTTCATTTTTTTACAAGTGGTTGACCAGTTTTCCCAGCACAACTTGTTAAAGAGTTTGTCTTTTTTCCATTGCATATCCATGCCTCCTTTGTCTAAGATAAGGTGTCTATATAAATGCCGGAGAGGGTGTGGAGAAAAGGGAATCCTCTTACACTGTTGGTGGGAATGCAAACTAGTACAGCCGCTGTGGAGAACAGTGTGGAGATTCCTTAAAAAACTGGAAATAGAACTGCCATATGACCCAGCAATCCCTCTCCTGGGCATACACACTGAGGAAACCAGATCCGATAGAGACACGTGCACCCCAATGTTCATCACAGCACTGTTTATAATACCCAGGACATGGAAGCAACCTAGATGCCCACCAGCAGATGAATGGATAAGGAAGTTGTGGTACATATACACAATGGAATATTACTCAGCCATTAAAAAGAATTCATTTGAATCAGTTCTAATGAGATGGATGAAACTGGAGCCCATTATACAGAGCAAAGTAAGCCAGAAAGATAAAGACTAATACAGTATACTAATGCATATATATGGAATTTAGAAAGATGGTAACAATAACCCTATATGCAAAACAGAAAGAGACATTGATGTACAGAACAGACTTTTGGAGTCTGTGGGAGAAGGCAAGGGTGGGATGTTCTGAGAGAACAGCATCGAAACATGTATATTATCAAGAGTGAAACAGATCACCAGCCCAGGTTGGATGCATGAGACAAGTGCTCGGGGCTGGTGCACTGGGAAGACCCAGAGGGATGGGGTGGGGAGGGAGGTGGGAGGGGGGATTGGGATGCGGAACACATGTAAATCCATGGCTGATTCATGTCAATGTATGGCAAAAATCACTACAATATAAAAAAAATTAAAAAAAAATAAATGGCAATATTGGAATCTCAGATGGTATGGTTTTGGTGGTTTCATCAATAAGCTGTGTCCAACTCTTGTGACCCCATGGACTGTAGCCCACCTGGCTCCTCTGTCAGTGGGATTTCCCAGGCAAGAATACTGGAGTGGTTAGCCAGTTCCTTCTCCAAGGGAGCTTCTCACCCCAGGGATCAAACCTTTGTTTCCTGCATTGACAAATGGATTCTTTGCTCTCTGAGCCACCAGGCAATTCCCTTTGGTAGGAATAGAAGGCATAAAATGATTCCAGTAAAATTAGAAAGTAAGTATAAGAATCTTATTTATGAACAGGAGGAAACAAATAGGGAAAATCCTTAAGGAAAAGAAACCTCCTGCTGTTTCATATGCTTCATATAAAACATGTCCAACTTCTGTATTTTGTCTATTTCTGATTTTACATTGGTAGTTTATGTTCCAATGTTTTATTTCCCTCTTAGGATATTCACACTGCAAGATATTTCAAGTCACATCTACATCACTGTTTATGTCCTTGGCAGAAATATATTTTTCTTTATTACTTTTTTCTGGGTATCAAGGAGATGTCACTGGAGCTGGAATATTGATGAAGCAGTGGAACTTTTCTTTAATTCATTGTCTCGGAGGTCATTTGACCTTATTGGATATTTCTTTCCCTTAATGTCTAAATGTCCATTTCATGTCTCTTTCTTTCACTCTCATACTTTTCGTTCTTTTCTAAATACTGAGCAGAAATTGGCCATACCTAAAGTGAACTCCAAGTTTATTGTTTCTTGGGAAGTTTATAAACTGGAATTTCTGGGTAAAAGTTACATATTCTTTCAGAGAATAATAATTTGATCTGACCAGCCAATCTGTAACCACTTATAGCCTAAGGAGGGTGGATCTGGGTAGCCAGTGATGGTAGTAACACAAACCAAAAAGGCATGATTGTGAGTGTGTGTGTGAGTGTGTGTGTGCCCTGCCTTGTGAGGGGAAAATGGTTCTTAAAGCGGAGGCACCTGGATTCATATATTAAGATGACTTATAATACAGAAGTCAGAATTCACTCAACAGATGGGACTAAGTAGGGTATCTGATATCATTCATAGGATGGTTTTACAACTAAATTCATAAGGTCCAAGGAACCACATGGAAGAGGGATTCTCTATGTGCTGAAGTGTCAACTGTAGCAGGGAGGCCACCTTGCTCCTCAGCATCCCTGACACCATCTCTAACCACTTTCCCTCTTGATCATTCCTCAGCCCCACTGGTTTCCTTGTTTTCATTTGAACACGTGGAACAAGCATCTTCCTCAGGGCCTTTGCAGCTCCCTCTAGCAGGCTCACAGTTCTCCTGACGTCATACTAGCTCCTTATCCCTCTTTCTGGAGGAAAGTGTTCAAACATCATCTCATTGTCTGGTCTTCCCTGAGCACTTGGGACAAAGTAACACCTTCTACCACTCTCTCTCTTATGCCTGGCTTTGTTTTCTTCATAGCATCTGTCACATTCTGACATATTCTGTCATATTTTATTTGAATATCCTCATTCACCCTCCTTGGATTGTGAGAGCTTTTTCTTTTTTTCCATTTAAACACTCTGCTTATTGGCTCCATGTACTTGGAACATGGTCAGCACTAAATTAAGCTCTAGAGGTATGACCTCTTTGCAAATCTGATGAGAATTGGACAAACATTCCTAGTCAAGATGAAATGGAGTATACCCTCAAAGGGGCTTCCAGGGTGACTCAGCGCTAAAGAATCCTCCCCCATTGCAGCATCTGTGTAGGAGATGCCTACTCAATCCCTAGGTTCTGAAGAACCCTTGGTGGAGGACATGGCAATCCACTCCAGAATTCAACCCACTCTGGGGAAATCCCAAGGACAGAGGAGCCTGGCGAACTACAGTTGATTGGGTTGCACAGAGTTAGACATGACTGAAGCAACTGAACACATGCCAACACACCCTCAAAGAGAACTTACTTATAAATAAAGTATTAACATCAATTTCTTGAGGGTCAAATAGAAATTGTAGTGTTTCAGCTATGTGAAGTATGCCAGTTTGTGTGAAAATTAGTCATGTTATTTTTCTTTTTCCTGGTAGTCACCTGCACCCCAGGGAACCAAATAACAAAAAAAAAATTTCACGATTTCTTCTGGGACTTTCAAATGAACCAGAACTACAGCCCCTCATATTTGGACTTTTCCTCACCATGTATCTGATCACTGTATTTGGGAACCTTCTCACCATCCTGGCTGTCAGCTCAGACTCCCACCTTCACACCCCCATGTACTTCTTCCTCTCCAACCTGTCTTTTGTAGACATCTGTATCACCTCCACCACCATCCCAAAGATGCTGTGGAACATCCAGACAGAGAGCAAGCGTATCACCTATGAAGGCTGCATCACCCAGATGTATTTTCACATTCTCTTTGCAGAATTAGATGACATTCTCCTGACAGTGATGGCCTATAATTGGTATGTGGCCATCCACCACCCTTTGCACTACATGGTCATCATGAGCCCCCGGCTCTGTGGACTGCTGGTTCTTATATCCTGGGTGCTGATTGCCTTGTATTCCTTACTACACAGCTTAATGGTGTTGTGATTGTCCTTCTGTCCAGAAATACAAATCCCCCAATTTTTCTGTGGACTCCATGAGGTGGTACAACTTGCCAGTTCTGACAACTTTCTTAATAACATAGTGATGTATTTTGCAGCTGTCCTGATGGATGGTGGTCCTTTTGCTGGTATCCTTTACTCTTACTCTAAAATAGTTTCCTGCATGTGTAAAATCTCATCAGCTCAGGGGAGGTATAAAGCATTTTCTACCTGCGTGTCCCACATATTGGTTGTCTCTCTGTTTTATTTTACAGCCTTAGGAGTTTACCTTAGCTCTGCTGCTACCGGCACCTCACATTCAAGTACAATTGCCTCTGTGATGTACTCTGTGGTCACACCCCTGCTGAACCCCTTCACCTACAGTTTGAGAAATCAAGATATAAAGGGGACTCTGAAGAGATTCTACTTCATGCCAACTTTAAAAGACCAAATACCTAGTGCCCTGGAGTGCATAGCTCAAAGCCTCTGAACCAAAAATAGTGATTCTTTGATCATTGTGGAATAAAATTTGCTCCTTCTACTTGTTTCCTGGGATTTCCATTTTTCTTTTCATCTTTGGATTCGGCATCTTTGTGCAATTTTAGGAACTCTCCTTATTAAGTTTTTTCCTCAGTCTTATACATAGGCCATTTTTTGTTTTTTCCTACTTCAAAATTTTCCTACCTTTGGGTCAAAAATGTTTGTAGATTCCATTCTTTGTTGGGGCATCATAGATTTATTAAGAATAATTACTTCTTAAATGACAGTCATCTCAAGTAATTTTTCTCCTATTTCCTGAAGTAATAGTTACAAGTTGTATTATTCATTTAAAAATACACTTAACAACCAAGATACTTTATATTATTTTTATTACAGTTGGTTGTGTCAGTGATATAGAAAAATAACTGTCAAGTTACAGGAGGATTTCTGACCATGAAGAGTCAGAACCCTTAATTTTCTTGTTCAAAGGTCAACTTGTGTGTGTGTGTCTCTTTCTATATATACCACACACATAAAGTGGTGGTAGTTTAGTTGCTAAGTCGTGTCCAACCCTTGTGATCCCATGGACTGTAGCCCTCCAGTCCTTTCCTCTGTCCATGGAATTTTCAAGGCAAGAATAGTGGAGTGGGTTGCCATTTCCTTCTCCAATATGTATACACACACACACACACACACACACACACACACACACACATATATACAAGATCTGTTTGACCAGAAGATCTTTTAGGTGACGTATTGTGTATATGTATGTAACTGATAATTTTGCTTTACAGGAAGATCTAACAACACTACAAGTCAACTATACTCTAAAAAAATTTGAAAATATAAAATGAACAATTTTCCAAAAACCAATCTTAATGTCATGGAAGATTGTTATCAAACAAGTAGAGAATTCAAGATAATGTCATGAAGTTATTTAATAAGTTACAAGAAACCATAGGTGAGTCTTCTTTGAGAGTAATCTTAGCAATGTTTTTGTATATATCTCCCCAAGCAAGGGAAATGAAAATAAACAAATGGAATACATTTGTTTGCACAGTTAAGGAAAGCACCAATAAAACAAGCTATCTATGGGAAAATATATTTATAATGTATATATCCAATAAGGGGTTGCTATCCAAAAATATAAAGGATTAAATCAAATTAATATTAAAAACAAATAACTCTACTAAAAGTAGATTGAAGATATGAGATAGACATTTTCCCAAGGAAGACATACAGATCTTCATTCAAGAATATGTATATTTTTCTGTTTTAGGATTTGAGGTCCCATAGTAGCTCAGCTGGTAAAGTATCTGCCTGTAGTGCAGGAGACCCTGATTTGATTCATGGGTTGGGAAGATCCCCTGGAGAAGCGAAAGGTTACCCACTCCAGTATTCTGGTCTGGAGAATTCCATGAACTGTATAGTCCACTGGGTTGCAAAGAATCAGATACAGCTGAGCCATTTTCAATTTCAGATACCTCTTCAGTCAAATGGACATAACTTTAGGCAGATCCTTTCACTCTTCTGAGTTACATTTATGCAAGTGTAGAACACATCATAGTGCAAACATCAGAGAATAAAGCTTCATGAAAATAAAATAAGACAATCCACATAAGATTCTAAGGTCAGTGCATGGTGTACCATTAGATGGAAACATGTCATCTAACTGACATTTAAAAAAAAATGAAGCACTAAATGACACTTTTTAACTTGTATCACTAACATGAATGTCCTAGTTGATTTATTAAAATCATCATGAAGCTAATGATTATAATACTTATGTATTTATATCAAAGGAGCATACTTCTATCTCTTGTTGAAGAAGGGAATCCCAATTTACTAGAAATCTCAGGAGACTTTCCCACCACAAGACAATACTTTGGAGATCCTTGGAGCCTGATCAACAAAGGTTCCACAGTCTCAGATTTGGGTCTGAATATTGCAATAAGTTGGGGAATCCCCATGGACAGAGGAGCCTGATGGACTACAGGTCACAAAGAGTCTGACATGACTGAGTGACTAAGCACAGCACAGCATAGAAGTGATGCTAAAACTCTGGGAGGCAGGAAAGTTCATGGAGAAAGAGTAACAAAGACTGGATTCACCTGTTTTTCAATGTAGGCTCCAAGGAACAGAGATCCAGCAGGAAAAAAAAATCTTTTTTTTCCATTCACACTAGTGGCCCTCAGGACAATGATGTGAGCAGAGGTGAGAGTAACTGTGAAAGCAGTGCCTAATGAGCAGACATCAGTCAGTTCAGTAGCTCAGTCGTGTCCGACTCTTTGCGACCCCATGAATCGCAGCATGCCGGGCCTCCCTGTCGATCACTAACTCCCGGAGTTTACTCAAAATCATGCCCATCGAGTCGGTGATGCCATCCAGCCATCTTATCCTCTGTCGTCTCCTTCTCCTCCTGCCCCCAATCCCTCCCAGCATCAGGGTCTTTTCAAATGAGTCAACTCTTCGCATGAGGTGGCCAAAGTATTGGAGTTTCAGCTTCAGCATCAGTCCTCCAATGAACACCCAGGACTGATCTTTAGGATGGACTGGTTGGATCTCCTTGCAGTCCAAGGGACTCTCAAGAGTCTTCAACACCACAGTTCAAAAGCATCACTTTTTTGGCGCTCAGCTTTCTTCACAGTCCAACTCTCACATCCACACATGACCACTGGAAAAACCATAGCCTTGACCAGACAGACCTTTGTTGGCAAAGTAATGTCTCTGCATTTTAATATGCTATCTATGTTGGTCATAACTTTCTTTCCAAGGAGTAAGCGTCTTTTAATTTCATGGCTGCAGTCACCATCTGCAGTGATTTTGGAGCCCCCAAAAATAAAGTCTGACACTGTTTCCACTGTCTCCCCCTCTATTTCCCATGAGGTGATGGGACCAGATGCCATGATCTTAGTTTTCTGAATGTTAAGCTTTAAGCCAACTTTTTCACTCTCTTCTTTCACTTTCATCGAGAGGCTTTTCAGTTCCTCTTCACTCTCTGCCATAAGGGTGGTGTCATCTGCATATCTGAGGTTATTGATATTTCTCCTGGCAATCTTGATTCCAGCTTGTGCTTTTTCCAGCCCAGCGTTTCTCATGATGTACTCTGCATATAAGTTAAATAAGCAGGGTGACACTATACAGCCTTGACATACTCCTTTTCCTATTTGGAACCAGTTTGTTGTTCCATGTCCAGTTCTAACTGTTGCTTCCTGACCTGCATACAGGTTTCTCAAGAGGCAGGTCAGGTGGTCTGGTAATCCCACCTCCTTCAGAGTTTTCCACAATTTATTGTGATCCACACAGTCGAAGGCTTTGGAATAGTCAATAAACCAGAAATAGATGTTTTTCTGGAACTCTCTTGCTTTATCAATGATCCAGCGGATATTGGCAATTTGATCTCTGGTTCCTCTGACTTTTCTAAAGCCAGCTTGAACATCTGGAAGTTCTCAGTTCATGTATTGCTGAAGCCTGGCTTGGAGAATTTTGAGCATTACTTTACTAGCATGTGAGATGACTGCAATTGTGCGGTAGTTTGAACATACTTAGGGATTGTCTTTCTTTGGGATTGGAATGAAAACTGACCTTTTCTAGTCCTGTGGCCACTGCTGAGTTTTCCAAATTTGCTGGCATATTGAGTGCAGCACTTCCACAGCATCATCTTTCAGGATTTGAAATAGCTCCACTGGAATTCCATCACATCCACTAGCTTTGTTCGTAGTGATGCTTTCTAAGACCCACTTGAATTCACATTCCAGGATGTCTGGCTCTAGGTGAGTGATCACACCATTGTGATTATCTGGGTCATGAAGATCTTTTTTGTACAGTTCTTCTGTGTATTCTTGCCACCTCTTCTTAATATCTTCTGCTTCTGTTAGGTCCATACCATTTCTGTCCTTTATTGAATCCATCTTTGCCTGAAATGTTCCCTTGATATCTCTAATTTTCTTGAAGAGATCTCTAGTCTTTCCCATTCTGTTATTTTCCTCTATTTCTTTGCATTGATTGCTTAGGAAGGCTTTCTTATCTCTCTCCTGGCTATTCTTTGGAACTCTGCATTCAAATGGGAATATCTTTCCTTTTCTCCTTTGCTTTTTGCTTCTCTTCTTTTCACAGCTATTTGTAAGGCCTCCTCAGACAACCACTTTGCCTTTTTGCATTTCTTTTCCATGGGGATGATCTGGATCCCTGTCTCCTGTACAATGTCATGAACCTCCGTCCATAGTTCATCAGGCTTTCTGTCTATCAGATCTAGTCCCTTAAATCTATTTCTCACTTCCACTGTATAATCATAAGGGGT